AATTCCCCCCCCCCCCCCTACTTTCAAGGCCAACGTTCTTGCTGGCATGCCACTAGGTGTCCACCCCTTCAAGACTCAGCACCCTCGGGCACGCCGCTCGGTATCTGACTCTGATACCAATTGTAACAGCCCAAGCCCACCGCTAACAAATATTGTTTCTTTGAACTTTCCCTTTCGGGCTTCCCCTCACAGTTTTAAAACATGTCTACTAGAGAAAAGTTTTCACACTTCTCCCTCTAACCGACGTGGGATCCCAGAGTCCTGATAAATACATCAATAATATGTCATTTCAATGAATAAAACTTATTATAAACTACTTTTTGTCTTGATTTTTTTAGGGGACTTAAGGTACAAAGGTGGATGATTAGTTTATTGGTAGATAATAGGAAAAACTTCAAGCTTACCATATTTCAGGGAAAAAGAAACTTGGTGCCCACTCAACATAAGCCTCTAAAGCCTCAAAGGCTTGGAAGATGAGAGGCGTAAATTATTATAATACCTTGAATTTCCTTAAGCAGCCTAGAATGTTAGGCCTTTCGCGCATTTCACGCATCAAGGAAAGAATATGTATACAACTTGGGGATAAGAACAAGCACTCAGCTCTTTTTCCTTCAACGGCTCAACATGAAAAGGAGAGGAGCGAGCAAATGAAGGGTATGGCAGAGATTTTTTATTATTCTGCTTGGTTAATGTCATCTCTAGGTGTCAGAAATGGCAAAGAGAACATATGCCTTATCAAGTCTCTATTCTTATTATTCAATGCCAAAGAGAACCTATGCTATGCCTCACACGACAAGATTACTTTTAGTTTGAGCTTCGAACAACACTTGGCTATAACAAGAAGCTATTGTAAAAGGCAATCTCTATAGAATATTGAGTATGGAGAGCCCTTTTCTTAGTATCAGGTAAAATGGGTAAAGCTTATAGAAGGCATTCAAGATTCTCAGAGTTGGTTTCAAACTAGGAGAGATCGGTTATATCACTGAACGAACGAGAACCATGTTTATTAATTTGGGCCAACACCATTCCAGCCCTTCCCTAGTCCAGTTTTGCAACAGCAGGAGCAGCTACAACTGCTCGATCTTGGACTAATCTTTTCAATCAGAGGGGGGATAGGGGAGTTATGGGGTGTGTATTGTCGGGGCCCAAGTCCATCGCTAGACGCTAGCAAGTATTGTCCACTTTGACCCGTTATGTATCACTATCAACCTCATGATTTTAAAACGTGTCTAGGAAGAGATTTCCACACCCTTATAAGAAATGTTTCGTTCCCCTCTCCAACCGACGTGGGATCTCACAATCCACCCCTCTTAAGGACCCAATGTCCTCGCTAGTACACAGCCCGGTGTCTAACTCTGATATCATTTGTAACAGCCCAAGCCCATCACTAGTAAATATTGTCCGCTTTGGCCTGTTACGTATCACCGTCAGCCTCACAGTTTAAAACTCGTCTACTAGAGAAACGTTTTCACACTCTTATAAGGAATGTTTCATTTCCCTCTCCAACTAAAGCGGGATCTCACATCCAAACTGGACCAATGAATGGTTTAATCTGACAATTTATTATGGCCCATTCCAGTCAAGAAGAGGATATATGTGCAGACCAATACCAACCTTGACTAGGTCAGTTCAATCAGATTTGTCAGATGTTGGATTGTTTATGTACGTGCAGCCATCTAATTCAAATAAGCTTAATTCTGCTATGGAAAGTGCACCCAAAACATCAAGAAACTAACGCAACATGACAGGCATGATGTTTATTTATTTCCAGGTAAGAACTTACCAAGACACTGCAACAATACTAATACAGGCACACGAAAATGGTCGAATATAATTACACTTAAACCATGGAAGGGTATGAATTTTTGCGCATGGTTTCAAGCAAAGGCTTATCTAGAACTCAATATTTAACTTTCTAGATACTATTTATTTCTTCCCACGCAGTTTGGCTCCAAGAGCTCTCTCAAGTTTGGTTATTATTTGTTGATTTGGAATAGCTTTTCCAGATTCATACTCCTGGATAACTTGAGGCTTCTCATTAATAAGCTACAGGGGATGAAAAAAATAAATCAGGCAATCACTAACACATACGTAGAATAGGGGACACGAGCAACAAGAGTGTGGGACAAACATACTTGAGCAAGCTGAGACTGAGTAAGCTTCTTCTCCATTCGAGCTTGCATAATTGCTTTCTTCAGCTCGGTTGGTACTCGGTCATCTAGGGTCGAAATAGAACATAGTTAACAAAATAATATGTATCTATTTGGTTCCTAAACTTCAAAAAGTGTCGCGTAAGTCTTTGATCTATTCATTATTTTCTAAAATTCTTGGCCTAGCTAGAATTGTTTAAGGTCCTATTCATTTCTTTGTTTTGTTATCTACTTTTAGGAATACTTTCAAAATCTGACTAAGTTTCGAAACCTAAAATAAGTAGTTTTGTTCTCAAATTTTGGCTAACCATTCAAATCTTCCCTTAAAAAATGATTAGACCATGGTAAGGAACTTGTTTTCACAAGTACAATTTGCAAAAATCAAAGGGTGATCACACAAGCTTTTACTCCTAAAAGTCCTAAAGGTAAATGAGATAGTATACATAATGTTATGAAACCAGGGAAAACAATAAAATTTATCCAACTATGCTAAACAAGTGTAATCCAGAAGAACTCACGAGTAAGATTCTCAGTCTCTTCGTCGAGTTTCCTGGTGTTCAAACTAGTACTGCTAGAAGCAGATTTGTTTGAGCCAGCAGCAGCTGCAAAAGTCAGAAAAAGAATCATTGCATGCAATCCAATATTTCACTCAATAAAACAGACTCCTTACGAGTTTTGAACAAACATAAGGAGAATATAACGGGCTCAGACAGATAGACATAGCCAATCCCAGTGGCCTCCCAAGACTCATTATCATCACATCCCCACTCCACAGTTATCATCTCCCGCAAAAATAGAGTTCAATGTCAAAACAAAAACAAGAACACAGAAATTGGAGTTTCAATAAGAACATCAAGGAGATTGTTGATCAAAGTTAGAGAACGCACATTTCTTTATGGTCTCAATCTCCGCCCCGGCTCGCCTAGCAGCATTGACGGCTTTCTCATCCTTCTTGGCCGCCGCGTTCGGTGCCTTCTTCCTGAGGACCACCGGTTCCCAATCCTGTGAAAGTGGTACGATTCCAGCCATTTGTAGTCTCCTTTTCTCCTTTCCAAGAGGTTCCTCGCTCGATAGTACGCAGAATCTGGCTTACCGACTTCTAGTCGGCCATATAAAAATGTCTGGATAGCTTGGAGGGCACGCAGTCAACTCACGCCATTACTCATTCGCGTGATGAACAATTAAGAAAAAAACACGTCGGTCTCGCGGGTCCAAAGAATCGGGTTCCCGTATTATCCGAACCACCCGTTTTCCAATATCCTTTTCGAGCCCATCGTTGTCATTTCCATATTAGGTAAGACGTTGAAAATTCTCAAAAAGATTTTTTTTTTTTTTTGTCAATTTACCCTCAAATTTGTTATTTTTATAATAAATAAATCTATTTTCTTTTGGTTAAAGCCATACGAACCAAGTATTGACCACTTGCATGGTTGGGTGTTACGGTCGTATTTTAGTCTAGGCCCTTGCATGCCTGAAAATCGCAACGCTATGGTTACAACATATTCTCCTCGTAGTAAGATTTGTGACACTCAGTGGGGAGACGAGAGTGACTCTGCCCATAGATTAGACCACTCTACAACAAAAGAAGGATTGGACAACGTTTTAATTGTTAGACTCGAAAAACAAAGGGAAAAAAACTAGTCGTTTGAGAAAAAACAAGCCTCGTGTAGCTCGATTAGGCCTAAAGTCAAATGATTTTTCTATTTTTCACCATTAAAATAATTAACTTTTATTTAAACCTTTAAAATGTGATAACCGGTATAGAATAAAATCTTTAAATATAAAATAAAAAAGACTTTAAATAAATTATTGTGTAATATTATGATGAAAATGTAACTAATAGAATAAAATATAATTGAAAATTTAGTAAAACAACACTCACTCCTTAAAGGCACAAATGACTAAAATGGACTAAATTAAAACTATTTAAAAATATACTTAAAATTGAGTTAATTAACTTTTAAAATGAATTTATAATTAATCTTGACAATAATTAGAATTTTAAAATCTATTTTTGAACTTAAAATTATTTATAAATTAAAAATATTATAGAGTGGAATCAAGCGGACCTTCTCTAAAATAAAATTATTTGTTTTGGTTATAAATCCTTTTAATTTAAATAATGAATCGAAACCAACATCAAATTTGTTTAAATTTTTATTTTTAATAAATGTAAAATATATTTTATTTATTTTTAAATATTTAATTAACATATATTTTAAAAATATATCTTCTAAAAATTGAGTCCAGGCAAAAAAAAAAAAAAAAAAAAAAAAAAAAAAAAAA